ATTTTCAAATGCATTTTTTGTTGTATCAATTACTAAAATAGCATAATCTGCTTATGCTGCTCCTGCTATTAAATGTGGTGCAAAATCTTAATGTCCAGGTGAATCTAATAAATGATATTGTCTGCCTCCAATTACTATAGTTTTATAAGCCATATCCATTGTTACACCCTTTTCTTTCTCTTCTTTGGTCATATCAGTAGCATAGGCAAGAGCAAAAGAATCCTTTCCTAAATTCTTAGCTTCCTTTTAATTTTTTCTTAATTCTTTCTCATCCAGAGCTTTAAATATTTAGAGTAACTTTCCTGTCAATGTACTTTTACCTGTGTCAACATGACCTAAAATAACAATACTAGTAGAAGGATTGCTTTAAATGACATTCTTATATTTGATGCTTGGATAAGGTGAATTGAATTCATCAACATTGTATTCAATATGAAATTGATTCTTTGATTTGTCAGTACTATTTGATTATTTTATTAATTAAGGCAATGGTTAAGGTTACTCCTCTTTCTTAACTGCTTAAATTAGTTATTGTTATTTTTTAGGAGCTTAAGGTTTCTAAGGCTATTATTATTTTTGTGTCTTTTTAATCTTATTACTTAAATATTCAAATGCAGCATCATGATCTCCATCAGTCTCATATAATGCATCAATAATCTATTTACGAGTAAAATCAAGTTGGAATATATCATACAAATTGTTAATGACTTCCAATTCACCTTTAAAGTATAATAAACTTAAAATTACTTCTGGTGAAATTATGATCTCCATATTATTCATCATCATCTTATTAGTTACTGTCATCTACATCCTCATAATCATCATCATTATAAGCTCCATGCTTAATCATATTATAAACACCTTAGTGTCTTGACATAAATATTTATTTATTTTAATAGAATCAAACAGATTGTTGAACTTCGCCTTATTCAAAATAATTGGTTTCCTCACTTGTAGTTTCTACTTCTGATTAAGTTGTTGTCTCAACTGTCTCTTCAATTGTGGTCTCAACTACATCTTCAGTAACATTCTCTACTGTTTCTTCATTAACAGTCTCAACTACTTCTTCAGTAGATTCTGCCTCTTCACTTTCTGATTCACTTCCAGTTTCAAAATCACCTGACTCAGGTTCTTCTTCAACTACTGGTACTTCAACAGGAGTAGCAACTCCATTCACTAAATCATCTACATATTATTAGAAGTTATCCTCTTTATCACCATATAAATCAGTTAATGATCTAATTAAATTTAATAAATACCTTTTATCAAAATCAACTGTCTTATCAAAGACTCCATCTTCAACATAATCATCAATTCTAATTTTATATGTTTCTCCAATTTTATTGAAAGCATTTTAATATTCAACAATCAATTAAGCTACTAAATCTTTTTATTCTAAGAAACGAGCTTATCTTGATTCATTATGAATAATTTATTCACTAACATGATTTCTAAATTCTTTAGCTTCTTCAATTTTAGCATTAATTCCACTTTCACATGCATCTAATTCTTTTTATCTTTATTTAACTGTTTCTTCTGGTGAATCACCCCAAGCTTCATTAAGTTTAGAAACTTCATTTTCATACCATGCAATTTCTTATTTAAGTTAATGTAAATAATCAGCAATTCTTGATGTTGAAAGAATCTAAATATAATTTATTATTTACTTCATCAGTTTAACTTGTATTGATTTTAGCTTTAATTGATTCTTCAATCTAATCAAGTAATTAAAGTAATTCTTATCTAACTGGTGTAATTGCTCTTGATTTACTAACTGCTTAAAGAGAGTTCAATAATTCATTATCATCTACTTCTCTACTTAGTGTTTCTAACATTACTGAGAAGTTTTAAATCTCAGCAAATGAACCATAATTCTAAATAGCTCTTCTTAAGAATTCAATTAAATTAAGAATGTATTTGCTTGATTTTATAAAATTCAACCAATTCTTGCTTTATTAGCAACGAAGTTCTTCAAGTACTTCAATTCTACGATTGTCTTTTGTAATTTCATTTCTAAAGTATGCTGTGTCATCTCCATGTAATTCAATTTATTATTTAAGCAAGGCCAAGTCGTCTGACATCACCATACAAGTGTTTTAAAGATCATAAAGTTATTACTCTTTTGAAGCAACTTAATCTTTTAATTGTTATTATTCTGTTTCATTTTCTTGAATGACTTGTTCATATTACTATTCTGTTGTGGCAAGAAGTTGTTCTAATAGATCAACACCATCATCTATCACATTTTCTGTTCTTGCCTACAATTCCACCAATAGTTAAGGAGATGTTATGCTTGTACTCAAAGCCAAGCTTAGCATTAATGCTAATACGACTACCTATTTCATCTAAAAATTAATTAATGATTATCCGTTTTAAGCAATGCAATATATAATAATTTATTATTCAACATATAAATACATTTACAAACTAACTACAAATATTATGTTCCTCCTTTATAATATATAATATATCTTTTTAATATATATTTAATTTATAATAATCAGTCAAAATTATGCATTCATCTTATCATTTTATAAAAATATCTTTTAAAATGATTTTTATAATTATTAAGAAATTAGTAAACTCAAATCAATATTAAGTTTGATTCTACTTTTAGATTATCAATATTTTGAATTAAAATTCTTTTTTTTTAAGAATAATTATAATTATTTTAATTATAATATCATTCTTGAATGATTTCATCATCCAAAGACTTGCTTTCCAAACTTTTCAAGCTAGACTTGGCTACCTGAATTTCCTAATTAACCTTATCAATTTCTTCTTTGTATTGCTTGATTTTGCTCTCTTGCTATAAATAATATAAGAAATTCAATTACCATCAACAAATTATCAACTAGTTAATTAATTCTTTTTGCATGTTCATGAGTTTTATATATTATTTCAACAATATCAAATATTTTTAATAGTACATGTTATACTTCTTCTGGTTTACTATTTTGTTCTAAAATTGGTTTTTTTAAATTTAACAAATATTTTGTTTTCTCTCCTTCAAGTGAAGTTATATGAATAACACTTTGATATCCTAAACGATTTCGAAGGTCTTGACCATTATTCTTTTCAAGAACTTATTTCTAATAAAATCAAGATTAGTTCTTACTCTAAACTCTGACCAATTATAAATTTCAGGATTCTCCTTATATAATATTAGCATGCACCATCTAAAGAGACTGTGAATTTAGTTATTATTGTCTTTTGCTGTAATTTTCAACTTTACTTATTAATAAACATTATTATTGTACATAATTCTTATATCTTTAGAGCATCTGCTAATCCTCTCCTTATGAGGGTTTGTACCTTAATGTTCTATTTTTCATCTTCAATTTCTTATTTGATATTAAATTCAGGATTATCAAGAGTCAACTATTTTCTCTTTTTGCGTCCTAATTCAATGCTTTTATTAAGGTCTTCTTTCAAACTATTTGTATCTAAATTTTCAAGTGATTGAGAGAACCCTAAAGAATTAGTTTCTGTTTGAGCTCTTTATTATGAATACAACATTGGATCATTCATTTCTAAAAATAAACTTTTATTATAAAATGAAATAAATACAGTTAATTCTAATAACTATCAGTTCTGTAAAATAACAATAATTTCTGATAATATCCAATTTTATATTAGAAGTTACACTATGAGAATGTAAATCTTATGTTTATAAGTGTTTATTAAATTCATCTTATTTTACATAATTATCATTTTTGTAATGTAAAATTAAATATATATATTTTAATTGATAATCTATATTATTGAATAAGATATATATAAATAAGTCAATAAATACTATTATTAAATCCTATTTTTATAGATATTATGATTTGATATCTTACTAAATAAATATTAATGGTTTATTTTATCATAAATTTAACAATTTATATCATTTAAAAAAAAACTATAAAGTATTTCTAATTATGATATAACTTAGTAACTAAAATAATTTAGAAAATATTTTGTTTCTTATTTAATTGATTAAAAATTGGAAGATATAAAAGTTTTTTCTAAGAAACTTATTTAATTTAAATATTATGAGAGATTTTTACTTAAAATTATTTTAGTTTTTAAATATTAATATTCTCTATAATTATAAATATTGTAAAAAAGATATTTCAAATCTTATTCATATAAATATAATTCAAGAGATAACATAAAAATATTTACTTCATCACAGAATGATTTAACTTTTTGAATAATTAAAAATAGATTTATAATACTATATTTTATTATTTATTTTAATGTTAAAATAGTCATAAAAATAGATTCAAAATAATAATGAAGATGTAAATACAAAAAATGAAATTATAAAGAAAAACTTGAATTAGAAAAGATAAAAATAAAATAATCCTGCTGAATAATTCGAACCAATAGAAACAATATTGGATTCTGCATTTTATAAGGTGGATGTTATTGAATTGGCCTAAAAATTAATTGGTAAGATTATAGTAAGATAACTTCCATAGGGAGAAGTAAGAGCTTTGATTGTTGAAGCAGAAGCCTATAAAGGTAAATAAGATAATAAAGCAAGCACCTGAGGATAAAGCCTGTCATGCATATAATAATAAAAAGACTGAAAGAACATAATATTTTTGGCAAGATGGTGGACATTTATATATCTATTCAATTTATGGAAATAATTATTGTTTGAATATCACAGCTGCTACAAAAAATGATCCTGAAGCTGTTCTTATTAGAGCAATTTAACCTTTAAAGTTTGAAATTGTTCAAGATATAAGGAAGATAAAATCATTTAAATTGTAAGAATTATCTAATGGTCCAGGAAAATGTGGAGAATGTTTATAGCTTAATAAAAGTCATAATGGATTAAATTTATGTGATAAGGATAGTGGAATGTATCTGATTGATAATTAAATAAAATATGAGATTGGAATTTCTAGTCGAATAAATATTGATTATGCAGAAGAATATAAAGATAAACCTTGGAGATTTTATATTAAAAATAATAGTTTTGTTTCAAAAAAAGGGTGATTATTATTATTATTATATTATCATTATGATTATCATTATGTATTTAAATCATGCATCTAAGTATTCATCCTCCCCTTAAACTTATGACTATTAATGTTTGGAGAATCTCTTCAAGATGTAAGAAATAAAGGCTAGACCCAAAATGATGAATATAATCCCATTAACCTAATTCATTAATGATATTATACCAGCATAAATACTTCTAAAAAGAAATAAAGTACAGGAGCTTCAACTGCACAATCATTTTATTATGAATAAAGTTTGTATCCATAAATTAACAAAAAGGTTATGTAAATTGCAAAACAGATGTCTAAGAAATTGAAGAACAAGTTTATTGCAGGATTTTTATATCTATATAAATAAAACTATTAACCTAGGTATTAATGTTATCAAAATATAAGTTCCCCAAATTATTAATCCATAGAAAACCAAATGTATAAATAAAGCTAAATTCTAATTACATTTCTGATCAATAAATTATGTCTCTATTATGCCTGATGCACTAAGAAAGATCAAAGTGTAAAAGAAGTGAGCTCCTTCACTTGCTTTTAATTATTTTTTAGCTTCAATTTCCTGCATTTATGATAAATAAATTTATTATATAAACATAGTCTTAATTTTTATTTTTTGAACAAAAAAATAAGACATAGTCTCCTCTTTAAAGAATTTATTTAAGTATATTATTTTAATTTAAGAGATTTATAATTATTCATATTTATTAAAAACGTCAGACCTAACAAATCATTTCTTCTCCTTCTCCTTTTCCTCTTTTTTAGATGTATTTCTGAAATCTGCATTTAAAATTGGGAAAGATTACTTAACTCCATATCCCCAATTAACATTATCAATAGGTTCTCTCCATCCAATTTCAGCTGAACTTGCAAATTATTTAAATATTCTTACCTAATTATTGGAAATTGGAATTGATCCTTAACAATATTTTAAGTACCCTTCTTATGTGGACAGAATCCTTTATCTTTCTTACATTTTTAACAATATTCATTCTCTACAATACCCAATCTATCTAATGGATGCTAACAGTTATGATGAAATTCTTACAGAATATGCTACAGCTGAACTATTATCTGTCTTTCCTGCATCCTTCTTGAACATTCCAACATAATTATTATTTTAAGTGAAGTAAGGTTCTAATTTCTCTAAATCTAATTTAGTTTTAGGTCCCAAAATTTTCTTTTCTTTCTATCATATAAGTCTCTATATTTACAGCATCTTATTGTCTATATGTTTCGGTTTATTCTGTAGTTTCATATTTAGATCTTCCTCCTTTTTATTGGCCTTTAGTTTCTTTTGGCATTTTAATATAAAAAATAATTCAGAAACTATTTTCACTTGAAAACATATTAAAAAATAAAGAAATATGAACATAAACAATTAAATGATATTTAAAGTATATAAAAGTAAATTTATAATTTTTGTATCATATAGAAATTATTAAAATAGTTTATCAAGTTAAATTTTTATCATCATATAGAAATACATTAATAAATGTAAAAGTAATTACCAGGAGGTAATGGACATCTTAATAATGATCTTAAATTAAATTAAATAGCTTATGTGGGTGCTCATAATTGTGCAATGTCAAAAAAGTATGGTTGGACTTATGCCTAATAAAATGTTACTATTACAGAGTAATTTGAACTATATGGAGCTCGTCACTTTAAAGTACCTTTGCATTGGTATCTTGAAGGGCATAATCCTGAAGTATATCAATTCATTATTATGAGATAGCAGTTGCTCATGAACCTGATGGACGTACTAATTGTAAATTGACAGTAATGTAAAGAGGTTTCAAAAAACCAGAGAAAGCAAATATACGTTTAAAAGAGATTGTAGATTTATCTTTTTAATATCCTTATGAAATTATCATATTAAAAATAGAAAGCAAATTATTATGCAAAAGTAAAAGAAATGGAACTAAGTTTTGGGATCCTTAACTAATGAGCATTATGTTGCATAGTTTATTAGTTTAAATAAGAGCAGATTAAAGAGCTATTAGAATTGAAAATGAAGGAGAAATTCCAACTTTAGGATGGTGTAGAGAGAATCAATAGACAATATTAATATGTATAGAACCAATAGAGTAAATATTTGGAGAATTATCAAAATATACTTATTATTCTTATATGTTAAGTGCATAAGTAGATTGGGAATTAAATCCTTTAGAAGATGTACAAAATGGTGAAGTGGCAAGAGGTAAAAAAAATTAAGAAACTGGTGAAATATTGTCTCCTTTTTTAGAAATTCATTATTGTCCAGAAAATTCATTAAAGTAATTTTGATATTATAATAATAAGATTAGATTCCTCATATAGAAAGAAATATAACTCATATAATCATGGCAGAGAGAGATTTTTATAATATTATGAAAAATGCAAGAAATTGCCTAATTTTTTAGTAGCTGATTTTATAGATTAAGGAAGATTATCAGATATTGTAGATGATATAAATCTAATCATAAACTCTAATGGTATGTTCTTACCAGAATTGTTTTAAATATTATGATTATAATTTAAATTAAATTTTTATCAATTTTGATTTGGATCAAAAATTTAATTTACATCAATTATAGTATAATCTACAATCTGAAACATTTTTTAGAGATTTTCAACCCTTTTAATTAAATCTAAATCTAATATATATATTTATAGTTTATTTACCTTTTTAATCAAATATTTATTTGTTTTAATATATTTCAATGTTCATCAGATCATTTAATTCATTATATAATATATTACAGTTTATATTTTAAGTTTCTAATCTCTTTATTAATTATATTTTCTATTCTAAATTTTTTTAGTACTTTTGTAGAATCATCTTATTTTTATCTTGATAAATTTACATTAAAAGAGCATTAAATTCATTTTTTAATATAATATTGAATTGATAATATGTTTATTAAATAGTCTAATTGATCTTCTAATATTATTCAGTTTTCTATACTTATTCTCTATATGTTTTTAAATATTATAATAAAAGAGGTAATTAAATAGATTAAGCTAAAATTCCTTCAAAGTCAGTAGAAATTTATTTAATTAGAGAAAATGCATGTTTGATTTAAATAAATCCAATCCAACCAATTAATATAAGAAGAATTTTCAGATATTGATCTAGAGGTTAAAATTTTGATTTTAAATGATCTCTAATATGTTAACATAATAGAAATTTACGATAGTAGATATTGATTATTTTATATATATTTTCTGATATTTATTTTTAATTTCTAGTTTCTTTGGCTTAAATATCTTTTTCTGTATTGATATCACAAAAAGGAAAGAAAATAGAGTCTCTATCCATAGTTAATTTTAATTTTGTTATATTATGTTTCTATAATTCTTCAAAACCAATTCTGTTGTCTTCTGAAAAAACTACCATTTTCTCAATAAGATCAGTTATTAAATCTCCATATTTTTCTTATATTTTATTACATTTAAAATTTGAGTTTTTAATTTTATCAAAATGTTCCTTTTATCCTTCGTTTTCATCAAAGGGTAGTTTTCCTTAAAATGCTATTTGATAGAAAAGTAAACCATATGAATATATATCGCACTTTGCTGAAAATTATATTTGATAATAGATTTCTGGAGCATAGTAATTCTTGGATCCAACTAAAGTAAGATTTGTTTTTTAATACATATTTTCTAAAGTTCTTGATAATCCAAAATCTGCAATCTAAATTCAATATTTCATATTTTACTTTAAAAATTTTTCTTTTATTTTGATCTTAATCTGTTACAATTTTGACAAGAATATTTTGTGGTTTTATATCTCTATGAATTAATTAATTGTCTTTCAAAAAACATGCTCCTTTTATAATTTATTGAATAATATCTATCTATTCCTAAATTGTAAACCAATTAGGTTTGATTAATTCAAATTCTTTTAATAAATCATGATCACACAATTCCATAATTATATAAATGTATTATGGTTTATCAATTAATTCTATAATTTTTACAATATTTTCAGATTACTCTTTTGCTTAGGCCAATATTTAAATTACATTTTTTTCATTTGATATAGATTTATTTATTTCATCATCTCTTAAAGCAATGTTAAATTTTGAAATTATCTTAATACAAAATAATTCATTTTCATTATCTTATCGATGACAACCAAGAACTTTACCAAAAGTTCCTTTGCCTAAAAGAACATGTTTATCAATAATCCAATCATTTACTTTTGAATCTTCTTCTTCCATATTAATTATTATAAAGTTTATCTAATAATTATAATAATATTTTATAGATATATATTTATTTTTATAACTTAATCAAATCTGACAGCAACAAATACCTAGTAAACTTCTTTACTAAACTTCTACTATTTATTATGGATAATCATTCACTTATTATTATTATACATAATGTTTAAATATTTAATCCAAAGTAGCCTACTAAATTTCAAAATCATTAATTATATTTTCTACTGCCCTTAAAGAACAAAATCTAAAAAGTTAAGAAAATTTAATTGATTAATCATCTACAAAAACTGTTAAATTATCTCCACTTAATCCTTAAGGTTCAAAAATATTTTTAGTTAAATTTTATCCAATTAATTCTCTTAATTTATCTTTATCTTCTACATTTTTTAAATGGAAACTTAATTATATTCTATTATCATATTATTATCTTAATTAATTTAAACTTCCTTTGAATTTTAATTAACCATTAATTATAATTCCTAAAACTTCACACATTCTTTAAGCTTCTTTCATTGAATGAGTAGTAATTAAAATTGAACTCTCATTTTATTAACAATTTCTTAACATTAATTATTGAAATTGTTAACGAAAAACTGGATCTACTCCACTAGTAGGTTCATCCATAAGTAATATTGATGAATTTCCTATTAATGCTATACCCATTTAAACTTTTCTTCTTTCTCCTCCACTCAATACTTTAACCCTTTTATCTTTGATCTTTTTTAAATCCATATATTAAGTGTAACTATCAATAAAATTTTCAATTTAAACAAAATCTAAACCTTTTAATGAACCATATATTTTAAGATGTTAAACTAATGATAGATCTTCATGTAGAGGAGAAAAAGATGGAACCAATCCAACTTAAGTAGATTCATTTTTTATTTCAACAGAACCTAAAGTAGGTTGTTCTTCTCTTGTGATTATCTTAAAAGTACTTGTCTTGCCTGCTCCATTACTATAATATATATAAATATATTTACGGTCCAAGTAATCCAAAAATCTCTTTGGATTCAATTGAAAAATTAAGATTTTATAAAATAGGTCTATTTCCTATAGTATAATTAACCTATTTGACTTCAACATTTCCTTAATAATTTAAAATATTTGAATTTTTTCTAATTAAACGGTATTCTAGATAATTAATAATAGAGAAAAAGAAGATAATTGATATGATAGAATTTGTTTATGTTTGCAATAGATACTTATATTTTAAACCTGAAAAGATCCAATCATATCCATAAACAAGTTAAATAGGTGGGAAAATGATTCCTACATATTCATGCCATTAAAATATTATTGTAAATATTATGATTCCTAAAAATTGAAAGGTTAATAAAAAGAATGGTAATTAAACATT